CTAAGACTTTAATTCTCAAACAATGTAAAATTATTTAGTGTATGTTTGGTTTGATTTTTGAAAGGACAAAATATAGTTTTAGTGGTGTAGAATTGATGTTGTGTGATTTTGAGATGTTTGGTTAGACAAAAATAAAATTGATTCTACTTGAAGCTAGAATTTATAGCTTCTGTCTTCAGAATTGATTTTAGATAATTTTTACATTGAAACTTATTTTCAACTCACTTTTACATAAACAAATCTAAACATAAATCAATTATATTAAACTCAATTCTAATAAAATCAATTATATCAAACTTAATTCTCTTAAAATCAATTTTATATTTTCTCGTGAGATTATCTTTGACTATAGAAACTTACTTTTGCTTTTACTTCAATTAAAATCCATAGTCTCCCATCCGTTTAACCAAGTAGAGTTTACCACATGCAATTTCTACCTTTCTACCTGTATATACATTTATTTATCTTTTGAGAGAAGCTCAAAGACAAATCACGCTAATATATAAAAGAAAGAAAAATAAATTAAAAATTTTACAAAAAAATAATTAAATTATGAAACACTATCTCATGTCTTATTTATATACTTATATAATATATAAATTATTTACGTTAGTTATTCAATAAATTTAAAAAATATATATTTTTATTATAAATAAGAATAGAGAGTAAGTTTGTTCATCAACTATATATTTTCCTTAAACAAACTTTATAAATTAATTACTTGCGAGTTTTAATTTTGGCATAAGTTGCTAGTTATACCAGTGTTGAATTATATATAGTATTAGTGTTACATATGTTAAAAGAAAAATATGATCTCTTTCTTAAATATTGTCAAGAATAATTTACATGGATGTGATTGTGATTTATGAATTGGTGGAAACTGAAATAAACGTAGGAATTGGAGCTGCTTGGAATACTGCCAATGTTCATGCTGGTTCATCTATAGCAGTCTTTGGTTTAGGTGCAGTTGGCCTTGCTGTAAGTTCTCTTTTTCTGATGCATTTGTTCATCTTTTTCTTGGATTTTAACTTAATACTGTCTTTGTTTAATCTACTGAAGTCTTTTCACCATCAACAATTTCTGGGTTCGAAAAAGCTTTATTTATATTGCACATTGGCCAGGTTGCAGAAGGTGCACGGGCCAGAGGTGCTTCCAAAATAATAGGTGTGGATATTAATAAAGACAAATTCATCACAGGTAGCTCTCTCAAGCTTTCTCCTCCACTGATGTAATAATTTTGTAATTTGTCTACATGAAATGTATTTTCTCTGTGCTCAAAGCCCGAGATATGGGAATCACAGACTTCATAAATCCAACCGATGAAGAGAAGCCAGTATATGAGGTTGGTGTTTTCTCTCCTCTCCTTTCCCGTAGAAAATATAATCTGCACATTCATTTTCACCAGAAGAATGATTCATATGCAGAGAATCAGAGAAATGACCGGAGGAGGTGCAGACTATAGTTTTGAATGTACAGGAAACTTGAATGTTCTAAGAGATGCCTTCTTGTCTGTTCATGAGGTATACTTATATTCATAGCAGCAGAATAAATTCAGTAGACTCATTGTCATTTATAGTAATTTTCATGTCAATTTTTGTAAATGCAGGGTTGGGGATTGACTGTACTATTGGGAATTCATTCAATCCCCAAAGTTGCTTCCCATCCATCCAATGGAGCTCTTTGCCGGTCGCAGAATTGAAGGATCGGTGTTTGGAGGTTTCAAAGGCAAAAGTCAGTTGCCTAATCTTGCCACAGAATGCATGCAAGGAGTAATGATCATCACTAATTGCAATTTCTTCAAACTTACATTATTTAATGAGTTTTAGTGTGCAATTAAAAATATTTTCCTGTAATTACTCAACTTCGTAAAACTCATCATGCATGGTCTAATACCTGGTTGTTATGTCTCTTTAATTAACTTCTTAGGTGATAAAGCTGGATAAATTCATCACGCATGAGCTTCCATTTGAGGAGATAAACAAAGCCTTTGATCTTTTGATTGCCGGGAAGTCACTGAGATGTCTTCTGCACCTCTAAAGAGAATATGCTATTTTGTACGATCAAGAGAGAGATCACTAGCCAGTTTTATGATATCTGAATTCTACAATAGAAGTATGTCGAAGTATAAACATGTAATAGTATTTTTAAACAGTACTTACGTGGCATTGTCTTATTATGAAGTTTGCTATGATGACCAAGAAATAAAAGTAGAAGTGTACTTAAATTTGTTCATCTTCCAACGTTAGATGATAAAGAATGCTGACCTGCTGTTTCTTTTTCTTTATTTGCATCTGTAAATAAACGCTTCTGTATATGGGGAGGAGTGAAATTACAATCATACTGATACCACTGTAGGTAAAAATGTAAAATAAATAATGGTTTGCAAGGGAGAGTTTATTAATAGAATACAGTTTTTTCATAATCTATCACCAAGTTTGATAAGTACAACATCTCTGAAAAATTACAGCTAAAGAAAATAAGACTTACAGCATGCGTAGCAAAAATATATATTCTACAAAACTCTTGGCCAGCGCATACAGAAACATTGGCAGTTGGATGATTGTCATTGCTGCTGGCCAATAAGCTAACTCGAGAGTATTGATTCCCAGAAATAAATAAATAAATAGCTCTATACAGACTACAGAGTATTGATTCGAAATATATATAAGAAACTCGGAGTTGGATGATTGTCATTACTACAGAGTATTGTCAGGAGCAAAATGGCTAAAATAAGATGAATTTGAAGTTCACTTTCATTGATTGTTGATGTTGTTGTTTTGTTTTGTTGCGATTTTCCTCTGTAATTGTTTGAAATTCTTTCTCACTAGCGGCAATTATACGCTTGACAGTGTCATATGAGGTAAGCTTGATGCTGCAGAGAGAAACAAGGGTGAGTAATGAAACTAATACAGAGAAAGCATAAGAATGTAGTTAAAAGGTAGCACAATCAATTTATGATAATCTTATTTTCATCAATAGGAGAAAATATGAACCTGCTGTTTGGTAGGGTTTTCAGAGCATTGGGCACAAATCCCCTATACAAACCAGCAATTCCATCTCGTGCCACAATTCCTGCATCAACATGAGTACTGTAATAAACAAAATCCCCCTTACAATACCAGAGCTCAAATAGCTTAATTAATAACAAGTGTACCCTCTAACTCTAAGTATATCTAAATGTACAATAATATGTTGTTATATTACAACCATGCTTATAAATATTGAGTAAACTTTCAGGGTAAAACAGCAATAAAAGCAATTGTAGACGTACAAATACATTGGTTGGAGCAAAAAGGATAGTTCCACCAGGAGTTTCATAGACTCTGCGGCTCTTCATGCCTACAAGCCGGTTTTGTAGAGATGAGTTAGGCTCAACCCACACATTCTAATATGGTATCAAAGCCTATCCTAGATCACTTGTTGGGTTTCCTGCATCGTCCATGCTTTGGACTCAATGAGGTCCGAGCATGAGGGAGTGTGTTGGAATTTCCGCCTTCATTGTGGTCCGCTCCTAGTCCTCCTAAATTGCAGCATTTGGCCTGCCTTGATTGCACCCTCCAACACCTTCATTGCGTTTGGGTTTGAAGGAGTAAATTTAGTCTCAAATTGCTTAGAGATACGGCATGTGTTGTGTCTATAAATGAGGGAAATTCTCAGCTTACAAACAGCTTTTATAGGGTTGAGTTAGGTCCAACCCAAATTATGACTCTGTAAATGTTTAAAGCAACCCCTCGATATGAGTAAGGATTCCTCCCGTTAACCAAATATATTTAAGGGGTAATTTTTACAGTGGAATGGTCAATTTATTGCATTTATCAAATAAATAATCGTTGAGTTAAGAATTGGAAGATTCAGAATCGTTTACCTACATTCCTACATATCTACTTTAGGGAATATTAAATTCAAGGGCACCAATAAGGCAACTTAATTACTTCAGAGTTATAAACACAATACCTTGGGCCAATGAATAAGAGCATGACTTCATAAATGATAATACAATACACAAGTCAGATTCTTAAAACATTTGTTTTATATATTTCTGATGTCAAATAAATAATAGCATGCAAAATGGATATATGGTGACATAAATTTCTGACGCTAAAAGAATAAACAGGAGCAACCCTCACCTGAAAAAGCTTCTAATATTGTCATATAAGGCTGTATCCTTCAATTGCATTTGTCTTCGTACAGTGTCCAAAGGATAGCATGTAAGTGTAGCCAGAGATGCCGAAAGCACAGCAGTGAGTATAGTTGTTTCAGTTCTCTTTTGATACTTCTCGGGGCAACGACTTCTTTAATCTATCACCCATAGAAGGTCAGGATTTTTCAATTTCAATGCCCAAGTCCATTGTCCTCACAAATACTAAAAAAATACAAGTTTGTTAATGAACGTACAAGTCAAAAACACAAAAATTCACTGCAATATAAGGAGCTATGGCAATAAGAGAAGGCCCAAGGCCTTTGTAGGAAAGATGCAAATCCTTCATCCCTTAGCATGCAAAAGGCAACCTAGAAAAACCACAAAAATAGCTCCGAGCCTCGTATCAGTTACATCTTCACAAACAAAGATATTGCTTAAATGCTAAATCAGTTCGATCATACCTCTGACATGGTTCGATAACCAGGCTCAACAGCTAATCTTAATCTCAGAACATCTAATGGGTAAGTTATCTACAAGGATATAAAAAATATTAGGAACATCATATGGCGAAGCAAAATGTCAAGGACATAAATGATTATTTTACATAAAAGAAATTGCTAATAGGTATTAACTATATTATGTAAAATTATTAAAATACCTACAATAAAAGCAAGGTCGCTCTGATTATTTACTTACAAAAGTGGCAGTCATGCCAGCAAAAGCACCAGCTGAAAGTCTTGCCACAACAGAGAGCTCACCATTCTGTCTCCTGAACAATTTCTGTAAATCCAAAAATAGAACTTCAAACATGAACATGTAATATTTGCTGTTAGAACTTTTAAAAAGGTAACTAGGGGTGACCTTATAAGTTTCATAAGCAAAAAGCTGGACGGCGCTGTAAGGTATAACCCGAATCACCTGTAACATTAAAAAATGAAGACCTAAAATGAAAAGACTAGTCAATGTTTATAAGGAAACATAAATACATAAATACCAATACATTCTTTCCTAATTGTACTGACCTGAGGGAGATTTCCCTTCCAATAACCTCTAATCCCTTCTTCCTTCCCTATAACTGCTATGGCCTGTATTTTACATTCATGTGATCAAAGAATTTTTTTAAAAAGGTTTCATCAGAGAGCTCAGTATATTCAAGGAAACGAAAAGTAACATTCTATTGCTACTACTAAACTGGCTGTTTCTACACACAACTTGATCAACTTTCCTTCTACAAGATGGAAACAATTACAAACCAGCACCATTGAGAGCAAATAGTCTAACCAAGTTCATAAATAACCGATTACAAACCAGCAACATAAAGATAAAACTGTAAAGCACTTATAACAAAACCGTCATGAAACCATCTTTTTCTAATATCAACAGCAGAAAAGAAAGTATTTTCACCAAATTTTAACAGATACAAATACAATATCAGTTCAAACAACGGAGTCTGCCAAGAAGGTATGGAACTGATCAACATACATACCTCTTCAAATTTGTTCTAAGCTACATCGCCTTTAATTTACTTTTCTTCAATATTATTAATATAAAAATCATCAATGTGGTTGTAGCTAAAATTTCAAGCTTTAGGGATAAATGATTCATAACATGATTTAGAATCCACTCTCTCTAGCTTCCATTATTTTCAAAGTAAAAAAAAAAAAAAAATTGTGTTTTAAGTTTAAAACAAGGTAGGTTGCATCTATGCACTGTCAACAGGTCAAAGCCTAGCAAGTTTTCCTATGAGGATAGATGTTAGAAGTAAAATCATTCATGTGCACATGTGTCTTCGCCCAACAGCTTTAGAGAAGTTAGAAGAGTATCATATAGCCTCTATTGCACCAATAAAAAAAGGCGTGTCTGTGTCTGTGTCATGTCGGTATACGAAACACTGACACTTGTTATTACATATTAGTTTATTCATTTTTTCAAACTATTATCATTGTGGCAGTGTCAGTGTCAGTGTCGATGTCATGTTTTCAGTATTCGAATTACAAAACCATTCTACAGTTAAAGCTAGGACGGAAAAAACGAAAAGAAAAAAAAAGGATAAAACATTACCTGAAAGAAACCTATTGCCTTCTTAGCACTATCTTGCCCAACCCGCACACCATGAGTCTGCAAACACATTATTAAACGCTGCGTTTAATCTATAGTCTTAGCAAGTTAAATTTCAGTTACAATTCGTTTTCACGCACCTGCATGAGGAGCTTGATACGGTCGAGCGGCGCAGTGAACGTTTTAGCAGCGGCGCCAGCGAAGGCTCCGGCGGAGAAGAGAGCAACATCTCGGGGAACAAACGCCAAGGCGGCGAGGGGGGTGCTTGAGGAGCTGAGAAGTCGTTGGCGCGAAATGGTTATGTAAATTGGGTTCTGCGACGGAGACAGAGGCGAATTTGGTGGATGCGGCGGCGGAGAAGGTGAGTGTGGCGGTTTGGGAGGAGAGGGGAGTGGGAATTGGTCGAAACGACGTCGAATTTGAGGTTGGGGATTTTGTGCCATGAGATTAGGGGTGTTTCGTCTTTGGGGGAAAGGGAAAATTGACATTTGAAGATGGGGAGAATAGGAGATAAGGCGCTGAAGAAGAAAAAAGGAGGGTGCGTTTAAATAACTCTTTTGCTCGAATACAGATATATAGACGTAAAATATTCAAACAAATATTATTTTAAAATTTTGCCATGTGAAAAATAAACATTTTTTTTTTATGTGATATCATTTTTACATTGAGATTTAGTAATATTTTAATGTGAATTGCATCAAGAATATTACATTAATGTGCTTTTTTTAAAAAACTCAATAATATAAATTAACAAAAAGAAAATATTTGTTCATTCAAATCAATAAAACAATTCTATAAAAACAAATACTTTCTAATAAACTTACAATATTTAAAATCATATTTTATATAAAATGTCTACAAATATAGAAAACTAAATTGTCTGAAATTCATTATTTTTTATTTATATTTTTATTGTATACATTTTATTATTTAATTAATATTGTAATTAGTTTAATTAATGATACAAACAATTTAAAAATATTATGTGTTTTTCTTTTAAATATTTTTTAAAAAGTAGAGATTTATTGATTTTGAGTATAAAAAAAAGTAGTGAAAGAAACAAATGGAATGGGGTAGATGTTGAAACGAGGAGGTTGTAATTTTAAGTTTTTTTATATAAAAATATATATAGATAAAAAAAGTATGTTAAGGAGGGTTAGTATAAAATATGGGTGTTTGCAGTGTGGTTTGGACGATTTTGATGTAAAAATTCACCTGGATTGTAAGAGAAAAAGGTGTGTGATTTGATTTGGTTCGATTGTCTTTTAGAAATAAAATCAAATAAAATCGAACAATTGTGGTTTGGATTGGTTCGATTTTTTATTTAAAAAAAATTATTGAGTCATGCATACACATAAATGACAATATATCTTTGTATTAAGTCATTCATGTGTTATCAAATAACAATAAAAGTTATAATATTTAGACAACAACTTTCAATTTAATATGCAAACATAAGATTAGATAAAAAGGAATAAAAACATAAAATAGTAGCATAAAACAATATCAAAAATATTATAATGAAACAGGAAGAAAAAAAGAGGAGATGAAATTTTAGAGAAGATGAAAAAAAAGAGCAGAAGATATGAGAGATTAAAGAAAAATAGGTGCATTAAAAACGTAATTGAAAGAAAGAATAATAGAATAAAAATAAGAAAATGAAAAGAAAGAACATAAGAGATGAGAGACTAGAGAAGAAGAGGTGAAATATACATGGAAAAGAAGACGAGAAGAAGGCTCAATAGCAGATATTTGAGAAGACTTAAACTAAAATCTTAAGTGTGAAGAAGAGAAAATTATTTGTAATCGTAAGGCTAAGGCAAAATAGGTTTGAGTTGGGTTGGATGTGGCTTAAGTGAAGTTTGGGTTGTCACATAATGCGGTTTGGTTCGGTTTGTAAAATACAAACTGAAAATCGAACCGAACCGCGCAGTTTTGTTAAAAAATGATCCAAACACATTCGAAAACCAAATGTGATTTTTGACAATTTTAGTTTTGTTTGATTCGGTTAGTTGTTTTCTATTGCGTTAGTTCGTTTTTTGAAACCCCGTGTATATGTATCGATTCATAGGTTCATGGATGTCACTAGAGACAGTGGACTAGCAGACTTTGTCACTAAAGGTGATCATGCCTCTACTGATAACCTTTTTAGAGAGGTGTCACACAGTTGAGTAACTTCCATCTTTTGGTTAGAGAAATGACAGTGACATTAGATAACATGTTGTGTTTGCTTCATCTGCCCATCTATGAATGTCCACTTGACCACGCCACATTTACTAAAGTTGAAACGGTAGATCTGATGGTTGAGTTGATCTCGTAAAAACTTGTGAACTTTGTGCGCAATGTTGAAAAGACCAAGATGAAGTTGCTTTGTTCTCCTAGGATTTGTTGCTTAGGGCTTTGTTTGTTTGTCTTATTGGTTATTCCTTTCGTCTCATAAAAAGTATTTTATTTGAGCAATGCACAGTTTTTAATAAAATGATTAGATGTACTATTGATTTTAATGATAAAATTAATATCATTTACTAAAATACCCTTATTAATTATAGTTATTAAAGTAGTTGAATAAAATGAAAGTTAATAAATAAAGGTATAGTAGTGGAAAAATAATAATAAATATTATATTGATATTGTAAATGGACAACTATTTTAAGACAGAGAAAAAAATGAATATGAGACACTTTTCCTAAGACAGAGGGAGTATCATTTTACTTTATCGTTTTAGTAATCGAGTCTTATCTCATTTAGATCATTGTGTATTTCTTGGAATTAAGTGTTTTTTTTGTTAAATCATAATTTGTATACATAAATCAAAACCTTGTGTCTAAAGTCAATGCAAAATTGTTCAAGTTAATAAGTAAAAAAATTGGATAAAAAAACTCATGAATACATAGTTCCAATCTGACTAATTCTCAAATCAATCATGAACACTTTATTTTTCTCAAAATATCAATTTTAGAAGTGTGATTCGAATCAGAATTATGTGAGATTTGAATTATGAGATGAATGTGTACATCAAGATTTACTTCTGGAAGTGTGATTCAAATTAGGTGTGAGCTTGATCCGAATCACACGAAAAGTTGATCTAAATCATGACTGAATTTCAAAATTTGGAATCTCTCTGGTTGTGTAATTTGAATAAGTGATTTCTTTGATTTGAATCACATGACTCAAATTAAAGGTGCAAGATCTGGATTTTATGTTCTTGATTTAAATCATTCTTTTGTCTGACTCAGATAATAATCTTTGCTTTTTACTCATATTATAAGGGTCATTTTATTCATTTTTAGTACATTAGTTCAAACACACATATAATAATAAATCTCCCTAGCTTAACAACTTTGAAACAAGTTTATAGAGAACATATTCATTCACAAATTTTGAAAAAACTATTGTTCAGTTTTGTTAATCACACAAAATGTCTCTTTCTCAAATCAAATATGAAGAACAAATTTTTTCTTGATTTGATTTCGTGAGTTCTTAAGCATTATTGTGTGAGATTGTATATGAAATCATTCATCTTCAACCTACGAAAAATTACAATTATTTTATGTGTTTGTGAATGATTGTGTGCTTCTCAACTCTGAGAGGGTGTGAGATATAGTGAGAGGAAAGTCATTAGATTATAATGTTTTGTGAAGTTTAATTTTTAGATTAAGAATCAAATTTTAATTGTGTAGCTAGCATTGACAATCTAACAAAAGGAAAAGATAGTTTTCTTTTCCAAAAAAAACTTTGATAAGGCCGAGTGATGGTTGCTATAAACAAGTTGGAGTTTCTAGTTCCTTTAGTGAGATCAAAGGCTCAGACAAGTCATTTCCAGCAAGGTTGAGTAATGACTATTGCAAACAGACGCCCGAAGCATAACTTTAGATCTGGGAAGGTGAACTGTTTCAAATATTCTATGGAATTCAGCCTCATGAGAGTTGTATACATCATAAGAAGAAGAAGAAGAAGAAGAAGAAGGAGGAGAATTCATATTAAAGTTATTTTATTTTTTGATTTATTTTTTTAGCATCTATTATCACACCTTTACTATTAGATTGAGCATACTCCACAAATTTCCCTTTGTCCCAAATTAATTTGCACTACAAAATGTACATTTCAGTAATTAACAAAATAAGCTCTTTTTTATATTACTTTTCAGAAATAATACACAAAGTGTTGCAATCTCATTGGTCCTACTTATTTTATACTACTTTCTCTTTTCTTTTTCTCATTTCTCTCTCTTTTCTCTCACTGTACTACTCTCTCTCTCTCTCTCTCTCTCTCTCTCTCTCTCTCTCTCTCTCTCTCTCTCTCTCTCCTCTCTCTCTCTCTCTCTCTCTCTCTCTCTCTCTCTCTCTCTCTCTCTCTCTCTCTCTCTCTCTCTCTCACTCTCTCTCCTCTCTCTCTCTTCTCTCTCTCTCCTCTCTCTCTCCTCTCTCTCTCTCTCTCTCTCTCTCTCTCTCTCCGCCTTCTTTTCTCTCACAAAACCCTAAATTCATGGTGCCGTCAAAAATCAAACCTGAACCAGATGTGGCTCTTCATCTTTCAAACACTCGCTTTCTTCTCCTTCTCTTCCTCATTTCACATTTCTTTCTTAGTACATTTTCATACCACCTGAAGCTTTCTCTCTCGTCTCATTTTTTAGATTTCTTGGTTGTTCATGGATGATTCTCGTGGCGATTGAAACTTAAAAGATCTCTTGTTTAAGATTTTCAATATTTAACATATTTTGATGCATTTCATGTATAGTTATTTTCTGATCTGAAAAAACAGAGAGGAAGACCATATCTGGTTTTTAGTGTTTATATTTATTTGTTTGTGTATGTTTTATTTGTTTGTGTAGTATGGAAGAGTGCAATAGTTAGTGGCTTTTGATTTGAATGGTTAGAGTTTATATAAAATAAACCTGATGCATTTTTTTATGGATTGTTAGTATTTATTTTTTCCTGATGCATTTGTATGATTTGGGTTTTTGATGTTGTGTGCAACACCCCGATTTTTATTTGCTATTATTTAATTATTTAATTAAGTATTATGTTATATAGTAATTGATTTAATTGTGTGATTTGGTGTATATTTGAATGATTTAAATATATGTGTTATTTGAATAATTGGAGTTATAAGTAAGAATAGTAAATAATAAGAATTGGGCTTTATGTCATAATAGAATGGGTAAGTGGAATTAAGCCTATTAATGAAATAGAATAGTAAGAAGAGGAATTAGAATTAGTGTTGTCATAAAATAAAAAAACAAAGAAGAGAGGAGAAGGGGAGAAAGAGGAGAAAATAGGAAAAGTGAAGAGGCAACCCTAAAGACTATACACTCAAGGTAAGGGTGGGAATCTATGTTATTATGAGAGTATTTGATGGGTAGTAACACGTAATAGGATTGGTATATGAATTTCTAGGTTTTGAATCACCCAAATTGATTTAGGGATTTGAAAATTAGGTTTTTGAAATCTAGTTTTTATGATATAAATAGTTTCTCTATGATGTATAC